TGGGCAGTTCCACTCTGTCCTCTAGGGGCGCTGTGGGTCAGAATCGACTCCACGGCAGTGGGTTGGGTTTCTTCGATGTCTGTTACAATGGGTTCAGACACAGTGATGGAAGTGAGGATGTCACAGGACTGCCATTTTTCTGTTGCACACGGGGTTGCTGTGAGTCAGAGTCGACTGGATGGCACCTAACAGCAATGAAAACCACATGAACTAAGAATGATTAAACTCGCGCACAGCTGAGGAAACTGAAGAACAGAGAGAGCTAGTGACTTGCTCAAACCCACACAGCTGGTATGTGGCAGAATTAGGATTCAAACCCGGGTCCAACTGATTCTAGAAGTTTCTAGTCAAGTCCCGAACTCTTTCCACCACACCATACCAACCTTCTATTATTTCTCTGGAATTTGGAAGGATGGTGGTTGGACCCCACACTGCAGTCCCAGCACATTAGTAGCAGGGATAATAAGAACACCATGAAAACAATAGAGAACAGCCCATATTTTTGTCATTTCAATTGGCTACATTCAAGAGCCGGGCCCTGGGCTCCTTGGCCTCTCCTCAACCTTCCTTTTGTTGGCTTGTTTGCGGCCATGTGGCCGGCCAAGGGCCTAGGGGAGGACACTCAATGTGGAACCTTCTAGGTATTGCTAAGATCTAGCGGCCTGTTTACCCTCCCAGGCTGTCCATATTGCTTGAGTTTTCGGAATTAAACTGACTCTAATTAATGGTGCAAATATTTACGCTCCATAGTCCATCAAAGAAAATGCAGCCTGGGTCTTCAGAGTAAATAGTTCTGATGCCAAGGCTCTTGGCAGCAAAACAGAGGCTAGATTACCAACTGTACAGAGTGTCTTAAGTTCTTAGAGGATGGTAGATTTACATAAAGTCCCTTCTATAATTGAACACACTTGGTGTTTTTTTTTCTTCTCCCTGAAAGGCCAGCGGGATAGCCAATCTTATAAAGACATCAGGCTTTCATCCCTGAGTCAACGATAAAACGTCTCTCAAGAGAAGTCTCGATTCACAGTGAGTTTAGCTTACAAATAAAGCAGTCAAGATGGTGGCCCTCTCCGGGGGAACGCGCCTATGAGGCCGGGGCCTTTGGAAGGGCACTGCCAACAATGCTGTTGGGTACTGCTATCTGATGGACGGTGCTTGCCAGGTGAAACGACACACCCAAGGGCTTACCATTGAAATGCCAGCCCCTTCTAAGAACTGCAGGGCAAGGCCTTACTGTCACCCGGGTTCTTTTGTGCAAGGGGACAGAGTGAATGCTGCACGGCTTCTTCAAGGAGGGTTTGAGGGGGTGGGATGACTCCCAGGGAAAGAAAACCCCAGGTCTAGTGGCTCTGGGGACGTCCAGGCCCAACCTGGCCCCACCTGCTTTCTGAAAGGTTCTTTGCAGCACTCTTTGGGTGTCTCTTGGGGCAGGCTTCTCTGGCCCCTTTCAGCCTCGGTAAAGAAATGATAACCACTCAGGGTGCTCCTTCACAAAAGCCCAGGGGCAGCCCCTCTCATGGGGCAGATAGGCTTTCCCAGAGGCTGAGTGGACTCTGAGAAGGAAAAGCAAAACCCACCTCCAGTAGTACCTCCCCAGGAGCTGTGGTGGCGTACTGCCTACGGCACTTGACTGCTAACCCCAAGGTTGATGGTTCAAACTCACCGCTGCTCCAAGGAAAGCAGACTGGGCAATCTACTTCTGTAAAGATTTACCGCCTCGGAAACCCAGTGGGGGCCGCTGTGAGTTGGAATCCACTCGATGGCAGGGGTTTGCTTTGGTTTGGTTTTAGCACCTCCCAAGGGCTCAGCGCCCCGCTGCCCCTCTGCCCACCATGTCAGGACGACAGGCCTGCTATGCATTGAATTGCGCCCCTCCTAAAAGAAACGTGTGTTGGGAGACTAACCCTGCACCTGGCGATGTGGGCCCACTGGGGAGCAGGGCTGCCTCTGCTTTGTGGATGAGACCATCACGGTGCACGCTGTGTCTTCAAGCTAAACACGTTTGAGATATAAAATACAGCACACAGGCTCAGGGGTGCAAGGAGAAAGGAGGCAGGGATTCATGCCCCGCGGAATCAAGAACCGCGAGGTCTGCAGAAACCGGGAGAGAGCTTCCCCTGACAGACAGCCTCCCTGACAGACAGCCTCCTGAGCCTGGGGTCAGAAGCTCCTGAACTGTGAGAACATATATCTCTCTTGTGAAGGCCGCCTGCGTGTGGGGCTTCTGTTACAGCAGCCTCTACAGAGGACGAAGACA